GGAATGTTCACCCCTTAACTCTTAATTAATTTTGGAGATTAAAGTGTTGATGCCCCACATCTGCGGTACAACCGCACTGTGGTGTCCACGTTCTTGTGTATTGGGCAAATCCAGTACCGAGTGTTCACAGGCAGAGATGTGGCTTTCCCAGTGCTGCAGTGGTATCTGCGGACACTCCCCATTCCAAGGAATGCTTGGGGTTTAAGTGCAGAGCCAGCTCTCTGTTGTTCCGCATAGGCAGAAGGTAGAGCTGGGGGCTGTGAGGGACAGGAGCAGGACCATGCTTGTGGGGAAGCCAGACGTTTACCTGCCAAAAGGCAGCATGGGTACTGTGGCACTTCCCGTGGCCTGTTTACTCATCCCAGCTATCTCTTGGAGAATCTAGCAAAGGTTTTGGTCTACTTTAACAGATGCTGATAGCAGTAAGCAAGTATTTGGCAGGCTCACTGAAGGGGAAGATGGTGCCCCAGCAAAACCAGCGAGGCCAGTGCTGTCTGGCAGCGTGGCACGGTGTGTGCTGCACCACAGCTGTGCGGCAAAGGGCGAGCGTGCTCACGCGATGTGTAGATAGTGCTGTGTTATGGGCCCGGGACGTGTACTCAGGAAGCGGCAAGAGGCCAGAGGCAAGCGAGCAGATGAAGTATTGGTGAGATCTGTAGGCAGCTGGGACTCGTACTTCTTGTGCTGTGCACTCCAGAAGCGAAACTAGAGCGCTCGGCAGCTGGCAGCATCACAGCGCAGCATGGCGGGACGGGGCTGGAACTTACAGAAACCAGAACTGAGCAAGCAGCAGTGAAGGGCTCTATGAACAGCGTGTCTGTATGGACCAAATCGAAGCTTACGGAGAGCAGAGAGGAGTAGGGTCATGCATGCTTAGGGAAATGTGGAAATTGCCTCCACGCTGTTAAACAACTGTAAGGAGCACACCCCTGCATATGCTCTCTGCTCTTGCAAACAAGCATTTCCAACTGTGAGTGGATTTCAGCTCAGTTTCGCTCTCAGCCAAGCCTGCACAATTGGTTTTGACCGAGAGACCTTTCCCCCTTTGCTGAAGCTGGAGGCTGAAGAGGGGTTCCACCAGTGTCAGCCATTGACACCACAGTGTCCCCTGAGCAACTTCTGATATCCTTTTCCACAGACTCAGCACTTGATCAAAAGCTGAATTCAGGGTATGATTCAGATGCATCTAGCGCTGCACGCCAGCGGGACACAGCTCTGCCCAGAGCAGACGGGAACCATAACCTGAACTCAGACATGCTGTGCTCGGGGTGAGATGCATGCGGTGCGCTGGGGAATGTCTCTCCTCTAGACTACAAACATGGGACTTAACATCGAAAGTTTCTCATTTTATGCTCATGTGGTAGTTTGCATCTGGATCAGACTCCTGGTAAGAGCTTGAGAAGCCTTAGGCCTGGATTTAGAGTTTTTGATTCAAGTGCTGAGTCTGTGGATGTTGCACATTCTTTTGGCACAAGCTGCTTATCAGCAAATCCCTGCTAGAGGTTACAGGGATTTGCTGATCTACCGGCAGAGCTGCTTATGTCCTGCTCTCTCATCCAGCTCCGTTAGCAAAGTCCAGCCATTTAAGGTATTTCAACCATCTGAGTTTCACGTTGATGGAGATGGGATGCAGTCAGGCCTGGGGCTCTACCAGAGTGGCCGCAGGGTATGAATGCTTGGTAGCTAGCGCCGGGGGAGAAAACGAAGTGTTTTTATTAAACGCGGGCTTCCCCGCAGGGAGAACGGCGCCCTCTGCGCGGGTAG